AAACAGAGATCAGTGCTGATAGTGACATCAGCTGTGTTGGTCTTCCCGGCAATAAGATCAGTTTGTTTCTGCTTGGCTGACAAAGATAACTCTGAGCCATAAAAGCCATAAAACACAAGTCTATGTCCAAACAGGTTTAATTACTAGTTTAATTGGATACCTTGATGTTCACGCAAACCGTCATTTAGCCTCAATAACCCTAAACCTTTCATGCAGATATTAAAACTTATTAGTGGGATGCACACAGTGAATGAGTTCAAGTTGAACTAACTTTTTTTTTTTTTACCATAATCATATTCATGTTCACATGTGAGATTCTCTAAAGAACAACGGTGAAAGGTGTGTTGTATGATGTCTGTGGCTGCAAGGCTGCAGGTTATCGGTTTTAGACCAGTCTCACAGTGCCTCCTATTGGTGACTGCTGCAAAGTGCATGTGGCATTGATGTTTTACCACAAAATTTTTAATTTAAAGTGAACATAGAAATAGACTTTGGTAATAATTTCCCCTTTAGTAAACAAAAATCTGAAAACTGATCAGCCACTATATGATCTTTATGGAATTTCTTTACCACACTATTGATTGACTATAACAGCAGAAGGGATTCTAAAATGGAAAAAACAGCAAAGGAGCAAAACTGTAAATGTTTTATTTTACTGTCTAAAACATTTACAGCCATGTCTTTAAAGTAGTGTGACAGAGCTGTGAAGTCAAGTCCATTTTATTTATTTTATAGCCCAATATCACAAATAACACACTTTCTTCAAAGCGTTTTACAATTCAAACAACATATGACATCCTCCGTCCTTAGAACCTGGATTTGGATAAAGAAAAACTTCCCCACAAAAAAAACCCTTTAATGGGGAAAAATGAAAAAAACCCAGGGTTGGTCAGACATGCACTAGATGTTGTGGAGTCAGATGACCCTGAATCGACAGTGAGACAGGACGACCTAACACTGGCTGCAGTTTATATCTCCAAAGCAGTAGGTGCTTTACACTCTCCTTCCCACTCTCACAGCTTCAGATCAAACTGTGAGTTGTGTAATATTTCGAAGTTTCCAGATTCGCCTCTCATTTTGGGGTGATTGCAGGACCTGGAAGAGAATTTCTGCTAGTGAAAGCAGAATTATGTGCAGCTCAGTGTCAGTAAAGATTAAGAAGCTGTTAGTTAATTTCCAACAAAGCGAGAGAGCTGATGTCTGTCAAGTGTTGGGAGTGAGCAGCTGCTTCTAAACCTCAAATGGCACTGAGCTGAAGAAAACACAGCAGAAAGCTCTTCTCGATCATCAGTCGTTCCTTGAGCATTATAGCTTTGGTGTGTCGGGGAGGCAGCATCACGACGGGGGAGGCAGACAGGATAAACAAAGTAATGAAAAGGCTGGCTGTCATAGGGCTGAACTTGACACCCTGGAGACAGTAACACACAATCCTTTTTACCTCCTCTGTGACGTGCATGAAGCACCAGCGTTCACCTCATACCTCGAAGGTGTGACAGAAAGCCATTGCGCAAACATCAATCACAACTTACAGAACTTCCTGACTAAAAAGGGCTCACACTAAGGCAACCATGTGGAGCTGAATCAGCGATATGCAGCTTGAAAAAGCTGAACTACCTCATCCCCACACTATACTCCGGTATATGATACTCCTTCCACGTTCCTATGTAGAAATACTACACACGTAGACTTTTCCATATATTGTTTCTAATAAATTGATGTTAAACAATATTTTGTTATATAATACACAACTCTCACACTTCATTTGTCATTACACGCGTGCATTTATACGTGTTATAACATGTCTTTATTTCCATAATATGCATAACATGTTTTTATGTTGGGTTTGTTAGTTGTGTATATAAAACTCCTTTGCTCTTAACTATAAACATAAAAATCTAAAAAATAAATTTTCCTCTGATGTATCCTACTGTTTGTTGCTGCAACGCACAAATTACCTCACAGTGTCATTAAAGTTCAATTTAATCCAGTCAAATCTAAAGGTTGAGCTGTTTAAGTGTGTAAATTGCAAGGCAGGGATAAAAGTAACTCGATGCAGTATTATCACATTAAATTCAAATAAAAAACAAACCAAGATGATGTAATTCACTGAGCGTTTTAAAGGAGAAGGGGAACATTATTCTTTATGTTAAAAGTAAATTAACTGCAGCAGTACTCGTGGCTTATACACAAAGAATGCTGATCCAATTTTGCTCTTGGGAGGGCAAAACAATTAGGTGATTTCTTGTTTGTGTGTGTGTGTGGCCTGCAGAGATTTTGACAAAAATCCAGCTGGTTGTGTAACCTACAAGCACACAGGAGTAAACAAGAGCACTTAATTGAAAAAGTACTGTTAAAGTTAAATCAATTCCAGTCCAGCTGGGGACCTATGTTGCTTGTAATCCCCCATGTCTCCCCTCTGATTTCTTGTCAGCTCCCTGCCGTCCACTATCTAATAAAGCTAAAAAGGCAGAAAAATGTCCTCGCCCAGGTTGTTATGAACCACAGGTTATGTCTGCCTGATGATACCATAGAGCCTAACTGATATTGTTTTTACATTTTGTCCTTCAGAGAGAATTTGTAAGTGTATTTTTCCAACTGTAAGATGTCTCACTCAGTACATCTCTTGGTCTCAACAGAACCTTTTTAAGCAGACGTTTTGAATATAGAAAATAGTGAGATAAACTCAGGTTAAACTATAATTGGTACATCAGAACCTAGAGATATTGTCCAATATTCACCTAGAGTCCGCTCATCTCGCGTTGTGGATATATAGATACTAGAAGAGGAACTACTGTGTTACTCATTGTATGGTGCTGTAATGAGACTATAAGGCTATATATATAGACTCCTCCTGGCTGCATGGTAAAGTATTCCTGAGCAAACCCCAGATTGTACAGTATGTATGTGTGGGAATAAAATTAAGAGTCTTCCAAATGAGTGCAATGCAATGCCTCTGTACTTATAGCTCCACTGGTGGAAGACATTAAAAAACACTCCATAGGATTTTACATGGAAGATCTTACTTTTATGGTTATTTTAGAGAAAGTAATATCAGAGCTGTCCCAGTAAGCCATGACAGTGTGACAGGAGAGGCAGTACCGCAAAAATACCAAGGAGCCTGAAACTAACAGCCAGCTAAACTGAATTCAACCATCATTTCACCTATTATTGGTGCTTTTCCTACTGTGACATAATTTATTATTATTATTATTATTACTTATTTTATTAGTTCAAACCAGAGGCCGACTGTGGCAGTATGCATGGATTTTGGAAGGTCCAGAGCTTAATTGTCTGTTTTTGTATATAATGGCCAATCCTACATACTGTAATTATCTTGACTTATTGCCGTATTATTATCTCAGTGTATTCACGCTCCACTCCAATTCATTCTGGCTAATACTGGTTCATAAATGTAAAGACTTGCTATGTCATACATATATCTATAATGCTATTATTTACTTATTTTTTAAAACATATTTTTTGTACATATGTAAAATTACTCTGCACTTTACTGCTTTGCACATTCTGGTTAGAATGCCTAACTGCATTTGCGTTGGTCTTGTACGCTGTAGCTTGTGCATATGACCAATAAAGTTGAAAAATTTTCTCTCCCCTCTAATCTAAAACCGAGACTGAATGTATCACAGTTTTCTTACCTAAAACTGTATTTTGGAGGTTGGGGTGGGAGTTTGTCATTGGTTTGCTCTGCAGCTTTTTAGTTTACAGTGGTATTCTGAAACACTTGTAAATAAAAACCAATCCCTTCCAGATCAACCTGAACAGGACTCTGCTCCTCCTGGGCTGCTGTTGGTCTGTTTCTCCCTGGGATCTGCGGTGAATCGCTCGCCGATGTCACCGATGGATAAATCCAGGAAAGTCCGTTGTAATCGAGGGCGCAGATCAGGAGGCAGAGCTTATGGGATGGGACTATGGCTCTCCCTCCCAGAGGTTTAGATGGCTGTCAAAAGGGTTTTCTCTTGCGAACCTGGCTTATAATCACCTCTGTGGCGTGTTGTGGTCGTACTACGCCTACGTCTTCGAGCTATGTCCGTGTAAGTAGCGAGGAAAGACTGCGGTTCGTGTGTTTGGGATTTTGGACGTTTTAAAGTGTGAAAATCGCAGACTTGCCGACCAGGCAGTGTGGACAAAAAAATAACGATATACCACCGAGCAGCAGCCTAGCAAAGTAAGGCCGGAAGTGGTTCAGGGTGTGTGCCTTTTTTTAGTTGCATTAAACGTGATGTTTTGGCCTTTTTTAAAAAAAGTGATACGCCAATTTAATTTGGTTAAAGCTCAGTGATTAACTCTGTATTCATGTTAAAGGACAGCGATAACCTGTGAATCTGGCTAGGTCGTGTTAGCCGTTAAATGTTGTTGTTCTTTTGGATAAACAAACAAACTAGTGTTTGTAGAGACACACTGTTGCTCGTATCTGGTATCCGGCTCTGTGTTTTTATTATTGCCATGTTCTTGTTTTTTTTTTTTTTTTACAGTTACACTCACCAACACGGTTTGAAAAAGTGAGTTACCTATCGTTCATGTGCCACAAGCAAGCAGTATGTTTGTCTTATGGGTTTGTTTTTTTGTAAATAATTGTGCCTTTTGTTTTGTTCTTGCAGGTGGGCATATCTACTGGTGTTTTCATGTTTGCTTTGTTGATGTTCTCCTGGACCTACTGGAAGTCCATATTTTCACCCTGCTGCATCACCATGGCAAGGGAAGGTATCCAGAGCTGGAACATGATGTTACTTGATGCACTGTGCTCATATAATCACTGGATGTGGGGCATGATGCATGTTTTTTTTTTTGCTCTAGTTTCAGCTGTCATACTCAGACAAGCAGAGATACGAGATGGAGGAGAGGCCAGATGCTCAGAAACAAATCCTGGTTGAGATCGCAAAGAAACTGCCCATCTTTACTCGAGCTCAATCTGGAGGTAAGTTGTTCTGCCGGGTCATTTATACGTTGTCCCCTGCAAGGATTTATTGTATTTTTCACTTATTTGCCTCAAAATCACAGGAGCAACAAGGCAGATAAGCCACAGTCCGTCATTTCGCACATAATCTGTGTACGTTGGAATAAGAAGTAGGCTAGGGCAATTAGCTCTGTGTGTGTGTGTGTGTGCGTGTGTGTGTGTGTGTGTGTGTGTGTGTGCTCCTGAGCATCTCCATCCAGAGTAATCAGCCAATGTATCTCTTTCATTAGTGCTGATTGCTAGACTAAGTCCTAGGCTGCAGGAAGTAAGTGAAGGGTAAGCTCGGCTCAAATGTCGTTCATTCAACTGGCCATCCTCTTGTCTCTAGCTATCAGGTTCTGCGACCGCTGCCAGGTACTGAAGCCTGACCGCTGTCACCACTGCTCGGTTTGTGAAACGTAAGTCACTCTTTCCTCCTCAATCCATTCAAATAGGGAGATCACCCTAGGCAAGGAGATATTTGTTGGCCGAAGACTGGTGTGATAATTAGAAGGTGTTGCTTTGTTGGCACAGTATCCCACAGAAAGAATATCCTAATGATCAATCAGAGCAGAGGTTTACTAGAACGAATGAGCAGACCGTGGTCAGGATACAGTGTAAAGTAGGTTGTATAAAGATTATTAGACAATTCACAGTTCATTCACATCAATTAATGATGTGAAAACTGTATTATGGCATTTATTTTTAACGTAAGGTAACGTACCTGCTACATTATCAAAATATATAGAAACAAAAATATGTTATGTTATTCCTTTAAAGATGTGTCTTGAAGATGGACCATCACTGTCCTTGGTAAGTAGAAACTTTTCCAGTACTTCCCTCTTTGAAGGAATGTGAGCAATCATTTTGTTGTGACAACAGAATTTGTTTTTTCTCTAAGGGTGAACAACTGTGTGGGCTTCTCCAACTACAAGTTTTTCCTGCTCTTCCTCTCCTACTCCATGCTGTACTGTGTATTCATTGCAGCAACAGTCTTTCAGTATTTCCTCAAATTCTGGGTGGTGAGTGTCATCAGTCTAAATCATCACTCATGCTCAACATCTGATAATGGAGTCATATGACCGGTCATATGGTCACCAGTGTTGCAATTCTATAACAATAGAGAACAAAAGCCTCTGTGAGGAGTTATACCTTTTTAAAACCCACCATTTTTCCTCAAGTTTCTAGTTCTCCTGTTTCTCTCTCCCAGGGGGACTTGCCAAATGGGCCTGCAAAGTTCCACGTCCTCTTCCTCATGTTTGTGGCGCTCATGTTCTTCGTCAGTCTCATGTTCCTCTTTGGCTACCACTGTTGGTTGGTGGCCAAAAACAGGTCCACTTTAGGTGAGTTTCAGTATCAGAAAACCCCTTTCGTTCTGCTCGTCAAGCTGCTCTCTCACTACCTCGATGACTTATGAATCATTTCCTGGGAGGAACTCTTGTGTTATAAATGTACGTCCTTTGTAAAAGTATATCTGGAGAACTTAAGCATGGAGACATATTCAGAACCACAGTTGTTTTTCTCTTTTCTAGAGGCCTTCTCAGCTCCTGTTTTTGTCAGTGGACCAGACAGAAATGGCTTCAATGTTGGTATACGCCGAAACCTGCAGCAGGTATTTGGAGAGAATCGGAGACTGTGGTTCATCCCCGTCTTCACAAGGTGAGTAAGATGCATAATTAGATTCTACTCCTCTTACTCATTTTACATTTGTAATGCACCTGTCGTCTTAAATCTTAGACATGGCACTTTGGTTTCCAAAAGAATACTGACAATAATGCTATACAACAAAATTATCATAATAATTACAACAATAAAAACACAGTGGGTATGGACAGTTGATAGGATGGACAATGTAACGTTAACTGCAGAATACAGAGTTGTTTTACATGTAGCAGTGTTGGAGCTAATGAACAAAATGTAGAATGGGATGGGGTCAGGAGATGGGATGAGGTAATGGTCATGGTTCCTTAACTAGCTTCTATCTTCTTTTGTGCAATGAACATGTCAGCCAAGGGAATGGCCACTACTTCCCCTTAAAGAATCGGAGTTCTGAATCCCACAACCCCTTATTAGCTAATGAGGACATGTGGGAGGAGTCAGATGACGGCTCTGAGGAAGGAAGCCTGGGTGAGTCATTTTAATTTTAATTCTACCGCACATTCTCTATAGTTCCTAGAACATAAGCTGCTTTTCAATATATTAAAACGGATCAGTTACATTGAGTGTAAATATATTTTTTATTCAAATAAGTATTTGCAGTATCAACGAGGACAGGTGAAACTGGAGCAATATTGCCCAGTAATCAGTAGTCTGACCTCAGTAACTGTGATTTTTTAGTGTTTTACTACAATAAACACAACACCTAATTCATAAAAAAATATGGATTTATGGGTTTAATTGGTACTACCAGAAAAACTGAATTTGAATATGTGCTCTGAAGTAATTGTTTTGTTTTGCCTCTCAGCACTTCTCTAGACAATGTGGTTGTATTTGAAACCACAATGTTAATATGATTTGAAAGCTTTCTTAAAAAGAGTCAGAGAGTAATTAAGAGTGAGAGTAATTTAGTACAATATAAAACAGTATTTTTTAAACTACTTTCAATTAAATTAAAACTGAATACTAGTAACGTGAGTGTCAAACAATAAAGTAAAGGTTCAAGTCCCTCTTGAGCAGCCTAATGTTCCACCTAATAATCACCATTATGTACAGCCACAGTAAATAGTGCCTCACATAACCCGAAAAGTTATCAGTGAGTCTTCACATAAAACGTGGGAAACATTATTATCACTGCAAACCCACCAATGTTATCTGCCACATTTATAAACCAACCCCACATCAGTCTGGGAACAATGAACAGAGACATTGAAAATGACTGTGTATAGCTGTTTTCCCAGATATAACCTTATCATGCAGTCAATTACTGTGGTGAATTTGGACAACTTTCACCTCTCAAATTACTCTGCACTTTCACTTGTGGTGAGGCTGTTAAGTGCCACATGCAGTGATCTCTTTACTTTTACCTTCCTCTAAAAGCTTGACATGGATTTTCTTCCCAAATAAAGATTCTTGGCACTGTCTTTCAGTTAATCATTAAAATGAGTAGATATAGTGTAAACGGATACTGATTTGTTGTTTTTCCATGTTGAGAATTCTTTAAAAAATATATTTCTTTAATTTATTGAGATCAATTCTGATTCTAATCACACTCTGTAATGCAACATTAGTGCCTTAGTGGTTTGTAAAATATTTTTAAATGCCTCAGTAACATATTAAAATATGATAACATCTTTGTTTTATTTGTACACACTTGAAAAATAGATGTGCCCTAAAAAATGCAGTTGATCTGCATCCATCTTAAGATCCCAAGTTGTCCATAACTCAAGCTTTCCATAGTCACGGTACTGGGCACACACACCTATAAACAAAAAGTACCTTCCAGCACCCGTCATAAGCCGTTAGGAGGACACACTTTGTCACTTAGGAGGAAAAAGGCTCAGAGACGCCATAGTAAAATAAACAAATGTGCACCGAATAAGTGCACATTCGCCTTCAAACCTGTCTTCAAATTCAGTAACCTGGATGCACCAATCTCCCCCTGCACAATATTTTGGTGTGTTTGGATTCCATCCATAATATTCTGCTACCACCTGGTGGTCATATGCAACATAATGTTAACTACTGTATAAGCTCAGTTTCAACAAACACTCAAAATAATGAATGCTTAAATTCTGTTCTTTTTTTTTTTCTTTCTTTTTCATTCCAGTTGAGGACCAAGACCCCTCTGTTACCATAGAGATGGAGGAATAGTAATTTAATGTAAGGACAATTTACACTGGTACAGAAGATGTATATTAATATCGCTCACACTGTGTATGAGGCAAATGCATTCAAAAATCATGTGGATGTTCAGACACTCTGAATCTCAATCTGAAGGGGGGCAGGCGTGTGGATTAAAACCCGCACTTGGATCGCCATTGCCATTGTTACCCAGGGGGTTTTACATAATGATGTATGGAGAAGCTTGATGGACAACCAGTAGCATCACCTCTCCTCTCGTGGACAACAGTATCAGTTTGATTTGGTATAAAAAATAAAAAAAAACCTGTCAAATATTACCTCCAAAAAAACAACTGCTATTAACTGTACCATGCGCCGTTGTATATTTCCCTCTGGTTGTTCATCTCAAGGCACTGACCTCTGTGGGATTATAAATTACTGTTAATTGGGAAGCTTCTGTCTGGCACTGTACTATTTTATATGCCTCTGTTTCAGTGTTGGGCTGTGAATTTACAGTGTTGCACCTTTAGAGCTTGGTCTGTGCGGGGTGGTATCTAAATTGACCTCACACCCATAATGCTCCAGAAGTCTCTTGTAGTGATTCCGTTGTCTGGCCTCTACCAGTTTGGGTCTTGCAGCATATTAACATAAGCTTTTACTTACTTTATTTTTATTTTTTTTCAATGAACATACGCATATTAGAATACCTGATTTAACCTTCGCCTTATAAATATATTTATTCTTGTGTTTTGGGAGTCCATTTCTCCTGAGAATGTATCCAGGATCCTGCTTGTGAGTAGACCGTGCCAACATTTTGGGCACCTTTTTAAGAAAGAACCTCTCGTATGCTTTAAATGGAGTATTTCAGCATTTAATATCGAGTTAAAATGCCATTACCAAGGTGTGATCAGACTGGTGACAGTAATTAAAAGAGAGAAAGCATAAATTTCAGCTCATTATGTCTGAAAATTATTGCTGAAGACTCAACCACAGTATTATGGCAAACTTAAAGGTCCAGTGTGTAGGATTTAGTGGCATCTAGTGGTGAAGTTTCCGATTAAGCTTACTGAACACCACTGGCGTCTGTATTTGTTTATGACTATTGTGGCAAAAAGCGCAAAGGGCCCTCTCTAAAGCCAGTGTTTGGTTTGTCCGTTCTGGGCTACTGTAGGAACATAGTGGTTCACCATGCTGGACTCCATGGAAGGGGCCCGGCAGTGTCTTCAGATAAAAAAACGTCTCATCCTAATGCAACAAAAACAATGATTCCTATTTTCAGGTGATTATACACTAATGGAAACATACCTCATAATATTATATTCCATTTCTGCCAATAGATCCTCCTAAATGTTACACACTGGACCTTCAAATGATGTAAAAATGAGACATACTGCAATAGACATAAAACAATAATTATCACAATCTTGTTTTCTACCATATCAACCACCCCTAGGAAGATTACAGTTATACATGTGGATGCAAAGTGAAATCTGCATTCATCATAGGCACAAAATCACCCTTTTGATCTTTTTAAACATGCAGATAACTGTACATATATGTAATGACTGATCCTCGTCCACTGGTTGGTAGAGGACAGCGGTCTTCTGCAATATGATGTTCTGAAATTTTTTCTACCTGTGTTTATGTATTTTGAAATTTTTAATACCAATGAAACACATTCTCCTCGAGACTGTTTGGATTATGGACTTGTATATTTAGCCAGTGTACATAGTTGACAACCATTTCTGTGATTGAGTACACCCATTTATTCACTATGAGTAAAGAGTTGGGCCTTTAGCAAACCTGGATGCTGTTGGGTGTCTTTACCTTGCCTCATCAGATCTGTTTTTCTACTATGTTGGGTAAGCCAAATTAAATGCTGCTCATGTCTGATAAACATACATAACATACAGAACTAATTTATTCATTAAACCCGTGTGTCGTTTTAACCGAGGTATGATTCAGTGTTTGAAAGCATGTATAAAACATTAGGAAAGATGTGGATGTTGAATGTTTCATGTAATCTTGTGTGTCTATTTATTGTTATAATGTTCAGCTATTTTCCTGTGTATTGAGTTTACTGATTCATAACTGCTGCAGGCGGTGTCTGTATATTTTGCTCCATCAAGTGACACTTAAAATAAACTATTGAAGCAATGTGCTTTCATCTGATAGTAGGATATTTATAACATGAGAAGATGACAAATTATACCCACATTGCAGACAGGAGTTCAATACTGCTAGAGCACATACAGTATGGTCCCTTTTAAATTGTCTTTGGAGTATGTGATTGTGGTGCTTCCCTTTTTTAACACCTCCGAACCACCAAAGGTAGTGATACTGTTTCACTTGCTGTCCTGTCTGTTAACAAATATAAATCCTTTATTTTCCATCAGTTGTTGTAACATGCAAAATAAAATTATCCAAGTTGAACTCTTTATATGGTTCAATGTTGTTTTCTTTCTTATGCATGAGTATACACAGCAAAAACACGATAATAAATACAGCTGATCAGATTAATCATTTCGTGTCAGTTCAGGAACTTTGGAGATAACGTAGCAGTATTTGGCACAACAAGGAGAACATGAGATACATTTAAATAAACAAGACAAAATATACTCAAAGCAATTTGCGGATCATGTTCCTCAGGTTGTCCTTGGTTCAGTCAGTGCCAAAGTACCTCTGTCCAAAGTGTGTCGGAGCCACTGGATGAACCTCCGTGGTCAAGATGGTGATATCTGGGAACTCCTGGATTATAGATTTGGCTCCTAAAAAGTAAAAAGGGTATTTCACTTTAGATGAAGTGTTTAAAAAGCAAAAGCAAACTTATTTTCTATAATTAAGTTGCCATGAAATATGGTAGAGACATTAATCGGTCTCCATCAATTAATCAAACTAAAGATGAATCCTGTTGACTTTGGTGACTTTTCATTCCAAGCATAATGTTTTCAACTTTTGTTTGTCTTGGTGTGACAGGAAAGTCTGATCATTAAAATCAACAGGCTTCATCCTCTTAGGGGTTTTATGGTAACATGCCCTTCAGATTCCCACATTTCTTGTGTTAAAGGACCAGTGTGTAGGATTTAGTGGCATCTAAAGGGTGAACTTGTAAATTGCAACTAACTGAACTTGCGAAAAATGCAAAAGGCCCTATCTAGAGCCAGTGTTTAGTTTGTCATGCGGACTCCATGAAGGGTGACCCGCGGCATCTGTAGATAAGAAGGGCTCATCCTAACGTAACGATAAATATCCACATTAAATGTCATTGCAATCTGGCTAGTAGAAAACTACTGTTACAAGTCAACAGATTGCCCCATAATGCCCAATATTAGGTTTAAATAAGCATTATTGTTACCAGCAGTATAGTGTATGAAGACAATGATACAGCATTAACAGGAGTGGAGAGGAGATTGGAGACTAAGTGTGTGTGATCTGGTGGGTAAACAAAAGTAAATCAGTGATGAGCTGCAGCTGCAGTGAACTGGCTGTGGTGGTGTACCGTGAGGTGTGGAGAAGAGGCTGAGGAGGATAATATGTCTGGGCTGGACTCCGTGTTCTATCAGCACTTTCACCGCCTCAATCACAGTGTTTCCTGTACCTGCAGACACAGAACATTTCAGGCTTGACATTTCATATTGCAGCGTTCGCAATGTCAACTTATTTACAGGAATACAATAATGTGTTCATTTAAACTATAATAGACTGCTGCAATCTGAAAAAGGTACTGAGCTGTGTGCTGATTGATCTGCCCATGAGTCTAGACGATTGGCAGGCTTTAATTTCTGACCCTGTTAGCATGCATCACTGTAACTATATGTTCCATCACTCTGACATCATAAAACATACCTTCAACCTGGCTCGGTCACCATTACATTATTTTGAAAATTGAAAGCAGAAAAATGCTGCTTTGTGACATTGGAAAAACCAGGGCTATTAGGATACTATTTTTGTTGGCCCTCATTATGCTATTCAGCAGCTTGGTGGCTATCTCCCAGGCAGTGTATAATTTCCCCCATGAGAGCTATAATTATCAGAACAGTGTGAATGGGCCAGTATGATGCGGAAATGCAGACTTGGTGAAGGTCAACTCAAGGGAGATTTCTCAAAATGAATAAATACATGAAACCATTTTTACATTTGCACAAAAATAGACATCTCTTGACATTTACGTGCTACTGAGGGCGGTAAACTGGAGCCATCAGTAAGATAAACTGTCCTCAGCCATTTGTTACTTACTAAGGATTGGGTACATGAGCAGCACTTTTCTTCTGTACACATCTGGAGGGAACTTGGCGTAGTAGACTTTGGCTTTCTGTGTCTCCTCATCACTCTGAATGAGGATCTTGCCGATCCGGATGGAGCGGCAGCAATCCCGGAGACCCTGCTCCATGGCCTCACCTGTGCGGAGATACAGAAAACAAAGTAGGATCGAAATGTTGTCTGATCATTTAAATAAATGTGTTCTTTGGGCCAGTGTTGCTTGTTTTTATATCAGTACTGATTTCCAAAAGGTCTGACAACTACATGTGACATGGCTATGACTATACTCTTTATGAGTATGTCAACAAGAAAAATCTTGAAGCTTTTATATGTTAGGAATAGAAATCACCAGAGGGCTTTTAATTATCAAAATACTTCTACAGTTTTATTGCAGTTCCCTATTGGTTTGAGACAGGCTGCATATTGTGATATACTGAATAATAATAAAACATGTTATAAGTTAGTAAAATAAGGTAATGTAGATTTCTCTCTGTTCAGCTTGCCTCTGCAAATGTGATCATCAAGCAGAGAACACTCATGAAAACGTGCTTAATATTCTGTATGTCTCTGAACACACAAAGTTGACAAAGTTAAATCCACCTTTAAAACTAGAGTTGGGACCGATCCCATCCAATAAGTGCTGATATTGACCTATTTCACATATCGAACTGTATCTAGAGTCCATTGTTTGATGGTATTATGGATTATAAAATGTGTATACCGGTAAATGCAATTTTAAAGGCCATAGCCAAAATGCTGTAGCACAAATTAATTAATTTCTTTCTGTGAGTTATACATACAGGCGGAGCTTTTCCTGGATCATGAACCCACCAAAATGTAACATGAAACAGTCTGCAACTAAGTGAGCCAGTAACATTTTCTAACTCAACATGTCTTTGGTTTGGATTTTTTTTAGTCTCGAAACACAGAAAAACAAGACCACAACTTGCGATGTGCTTCAAGCCAACACTCCGGGGAGTGAAAGTCCTACGATTTAATTAAGCAGTATCAATATCGGCAGATATCTAAATTCAGTTATCAGATCAGAACTGTGAAAAAAAAGTGCATCTCTATTTAAAACTTTAATAAAATATCAAGCCTTGGTGCCTATACACAGTGTGTTAATCAAAATGTCTAAAAAAAATATTACTTGCGTGGAGAAAATCAAGTACAGCATTGTATCGGCCTCAGGGTGCGATGTAAAGTTATTCTATTGTTTCATTTAGTATTCAAATCTATTTCACTGTAAGAGAAGAAGTGACTGCTGGTTAAAAAAAAAGTGTATGACCCAGAGCACACAACAGCCTGACCTGATGAATATGTGCAGAACACAATGTATAGCACAAGTGCAGTCAGCACAAATCACATTTACACAGAAGACATAATGTATGCCCTCACAAAAGGAGAGATTCTAATTTGGTAGGTGAGCTTCTGCAGGGTTAACTTACCACTCCTCATTATGCTGACTCCACAGTTGCCTCTTTCAAACTTGACACCTTCATACTTGTACCCTGAGGTGGGAAAGAAATGAAGTAGGAACATTCACAAGTGTAGCTGGTTTGAACAATCCCACTCAGTCACACTGCTGAAGGTAAAACACTGGACGGGATCCCGACACTTATTTTGCATTTAGGTTAATACAATTGGTCAGCTCTATCCAGCTTGTTCCTGGGGAGATCTTTACATGTTTATAGGTCAGAGTCCGAACTTCAAAGACAGCCTCACCTGTTGGCGTGGTAACAGTGCACTCCGAGTATGGGAGCTGATTCAAACCCTCTTCAACTACTAGTCTGATCTGTTGTTGGAGAAAGAAAAAGCTTTCAACTTGTGGCTTATAAACACACACACAAACACACACACACAAACACACAAACACACACACACAATATGTAGCATTCATGAGTCATGCTCTTACCAGTCGATCAGCACAAAACACAAAGTCTCCTCTGCTGGTTGTCCTGAAAATATGAATATAAACATTTGATTAGATGGTTCAAAATGTACTTTTGTTAACTGTCCACCAAACCTATTTTTTCTCTCCAGTTATGGTTAGAAATGTAAAGATAAATCACGATAATATGTGAAGATACAAGACGGTAAGATGAAAGATTAATCGTGATATCAATCGTGGAATCAAGGGGAAAATATTTCATTTTCACTTTTACAATGAAAAGGAAACAAATATTGTTTTGGATAGTTTAGATTCTACCTCATAAACAACAAAAAGGATTTTATAATTTCATCTGTGATTTGATTTGTATTGTGAATTGTATCTAATCATGAGTTGAGTGTTTTGTTACATCTCTAGTTATGAAACATAACTGTAATGTGGTATTAGTAAATAGTAAGGAAGCTGTATTTACACAAAACCACTATTACTATTTTGACACTTGTGCAAAAATGTTGATTTTATAATTGCAGAGGGTTTAAAAATGGTGTCGTTGAAATGATCAATTATTATAATAATGACAAAGTAACATTTAACCCCTTAAAATCCAGTTTCCTTTTATTTCCCCTTTAAGTAGCTTTAAGGTGGGAAAATAATCTGAATCCACATTGTCCTGACAGCATCACATATACTTTATATCCTTTATCAGCTTGTTCCAGATCACCACTGAGGCTTTTTGACGTTCACGCAGGAAGTGAAAATATTAATTGAACTGCATCATTCCATCAATATTGTTGTAAATGTAAATGTAAGTGGGATTGAAGAGGATAAATTGAATCGGTCACATACCCTGGATGATCAATATGTGTGTGTTTCATTAGGTGTATCACTATTATACACAAACCACATATGTATAGATTACTCAAGGGCCAAAGGATATATCAGTATACAGTTATTTGGTACAGTTATTGGCAAAGACTGCATGGGATTTTAGATATAATACTGCCTAAAAGGGCCTTTTTCATAAAATAAAAAAGAATCTGAATTAATTTGACTGTAATATTCATATTAAATGCTATTTTTCTACCACTCACTCACAGTTTAGACGCAATAACCTACTGTTTCTCCTTGAAACTGCCCTACACATTATAACCACCGTTATGACTTATAAGTGGAGATAGAAGAGTAGGGGACTCACTTGTCTCTGATTATAGTCTGTAATTCACGGATCTGGTCATTCAGGGGGAGCAGTTTAAGCTGAGGGCCCAGGTTGTCTTGGTTTACGGGCTGTATGGAGGCATCAGTAGGTTCAGAGTTGGACAGCACTGCAGGCACACTGCTGCTGCTGCTGCTGTTTGCAAACCTCACTTGCTTCATTGGGTGCTCCTGACCACTGTTGACACTGTTCAGTTGCTGATTGTGGCATGGCATCCTGAGCAAGAGGTTAAAAGGTCTCCCCCCCCCTCTTCTTTTAAAAAAAACTATGCTAAACTATGCCGAGCGACCCACTTTTTTTACAGTCGGCTGCTGCCTCGCTGTCTGACAAAGACAACGTGTTCAGCCTCTTAGCTTCGACTAGTTTGCGTCCAAGTGAGCTCCTCCGACTACCGTAGAGACCCTAACCCGACGGGCGCTCATTCACAAACCTCCAAACACTCACTCGCGTCGTGTTAAAAGCAAAACAGCGGCCGATGCGTCCTCAGAAACAGTGTAGTAGTGTCAAGTAGTCAGCTCCTCGCTCGCTAGCTTTGACACTGACAGCGCCGTCAATCGAGGCCGGATGTGACGTTACCGGCGTGTTGACTAGCCGCCTTTCCTCCTTCGTCCAAACATGGCGCCGATGTTGGTGCCGCTGAAATGCGGCTTTCACTTCCAAAGACGAAGATTAGCGTTTCTCCTCCGACAGACGAGCTCGTATCACATCTGGAGTAAAAGTCTCGGGGGGAACTCGACGGAGCACAAACGCCAGCTTACACACGTGGTGAGTGTTGAAGGGAGGAAGGAGGTCGGCCCGGTTGGGGAGAGGACACTGCGTTGAAGTGTCACAGTCCTCACAAACACAAGGACAGGGGACGGAAAGTGGTCTGTAACTAACTTTCTTAGGAGTTACAGTCGCTCTTTATTTATTTATTTTTTGCCTACAAGTGTCCGTCAATGTCGTGTAGTTATATATATATAGTGTTACTCAACCAGCCGTCTAACTCGTGGCGTTCAACCACAGCTCACTCAGCTACGTTGATTTTAAGTTATAACTCTGGTGAATGGTTGTTTGACTGTGTGTCGAGTTAAAAGGTTGATTGCAGTCTCTGTTTACACTGTTTTTTTTCTTCACAAGAGTCGGTAAATGTTAGATAAGACTGTGTCTGTCCCACCCAGGGGACGTTTTCCTGCTGATAGAGCTGTCATCACGTGTTAACACTCTGTTATTGATTATGTGACAACTTAACAGCCTCTTAGTCAGCTACTGGTTTATTATCCTAATCATAATAATTCATATTAATGTGCAATGAAATGGTCAAAGTGCAGTACTATTGTACTGTCATTATTTGTAATACTTCATCTCAACATTAACTTTATTATCAGTACTCACTATTATTAGTCATATATTGTATTATAATGTATATATTTCTATTTTTATGTATTTTATATGTTTATATATGCTTATATTTATTTTTTCTATTCTATATATGTTGTGTTAGATATTGATCTTTAATTATTATATTCTTTAATGTCGTATTAGCACCTTGAGCAACTCAACTCGAGTATTTTCTGATTCTGATCTGATAATAAAACTGATGCAGTCTAATAAAACACCGTCAACATGAATTCCACCTTCATGAAGGTTATAATGTTTCTAATATTTTGGCCTCCCCATTTATAACAATATCATTTAGCTCGGTACTGTTAACTGAAGGTCTTTTATCTAAAGCGGGGTTCACTAACTTTTTCATGCCACGGCTCTGTAATAGTTGCACATTAGACCACAGACCACCAATTTGAGAGGATTTTTGTCTTAATTCCCTCTGAATAAAGTTCTTATAATTAAGTTTCAAGATTAGACAAGTCTGGAATCAAACTGGAATCCCTACAAACAGCAATCAATAAAGACATCCAGCCTTATTTCTTCCCTTGTTGTTCCAACTTCCAGAAAATGGGATGAAAGTTCAAATATTCTATTCCTCCTTTTGCTGGGGAACCACTAAAACCCACTCAAGGACCCCTGTTGGTCCCCAGACTGCAGTTTGAAAACCACTGACCTGGAGAATAAAAGTTACTCTCTAAAAGTTATCCTTTTTTATGATGTAAGCTTAGTTTACAAACAACTCACATTAACAATTAATGCAAGAAGTAATGTGTAAAATGAATAAGAAATTCTACTTTTCTCAACTGTGTTATTCATACAGTGTTTGTTTACATAATGTTCCAGGTCATCATAGATGAGAGGATATAAATGTCCTTAAATGTAGGTGCAACACAGGATAAATTTAAGCGTAAATCGTAAACCACCCACAGTATATCGAGCATTATCAAACATTTAGCCTCTGTAGGCGTATTAGTAGTTCTAATCCTTCATAGACAATGACTGTACTTAAACACAACACAAAAGGTGGTGCTTGTATTGCTTCAATTGATTTCATGTGGGTTAAAATAAAGTGACAAATATTCATGGCGAAAAAAACCAACGGCTATCAGAACATCTGTGGAAGCTTGTCAAACCAGTCCTGAAGCTTAACCAAGTTCTCCTCTGACCCTTTTATTTGTTCAGTATGTCCGCAGCCCGTACACAACCTTTAAACTGTGAACAACAAACACACAGGGAAGAAAATGTTGTTTAGTGCTTGTTTGTTTCTATTGGAATTAAATGTATTTTGCAGTTTATTTTATCTTTTTGTTTGAAAGTTTCATTTATTCCGTTGTTTTTTTTATAGGGTTTCAGTGTTTCTAAATATTAAAACATCCATATAAATGCAGAAATGAGAATCATCAGTAAATAAAGACATCTCATATGTTTCAGCTGAGTTCCCCTCCGCACCTACGAACAGCTACATGGAGTACAAGCAGGAGCGAAAACAGTCGTCAGATTTTGGAGGCAGCCAAAGTAAGTTTGTTTGAGATATAATCGTGAATCATTGTCTGTTATCATAATCAAACGTAGAATAACAATGTATGATGTCTCCACAGCATTTGCAGATTACAGACAAAAGAACATGTTGGCACGGAAGTGCGGGAGGACGGCTAAATGCCGATCCAAAAAATGTGGTGAGTGCAGTGACTTCTTCTAGTTTAATGTCATTAAAGCTTTGAGTGCTGCTATTTTTAAGGACCGATTAAACAAGTATACAAGGTTAATCGCCATTTTACATCTCGTGGTTGTATAATGAACTCTACGTTTTATACTAGAAAGTGAAAAAAAATATATACAGTGAATTAAACTAAACAAAGAGCACATGTTAATTTAAAAAAAGCAGGGCTGCAACTAATGATTATCTTCAGTATTGATTAATCTATTAACTGTTTTCATTTACTGATCATACATTTGAATATCAGATTGTTGAAGATGTCTTTATATGATCATCTGCTCCAGGTACAATACACCCACAAAGTGCAGAGACGCGTCCATTCATCCGCTCAATCTGTTTAAGTTATTCAACCGCTCTGCTCAGCACTCTTCAAGTTCTTGAAGGTTGTTCAGTCACATCTTGCAGGAAGTTATTTTTCGGTCGTGAAGGAAAGTCAGTTAGTTTTTTGATGAACAGTAAGTGCCAACTACTACTAACTGTAGCTGCCGTTAGCCATACAGCCAGCGGTCCTATTTGCTAGCTGACTCTACCCAGATTGGGAGCTCGGAGCACCGACGTTCCAAAGCCTCTGCTCTGTTTCCCCGGTGCTCCGAGCTAATAGGACCACTAGCTGCTACTGGGTACTTGGCCAACTTCTGGAAGCCCACCAATCAGAGACCAGTATAAGATAAATAAGCACTTTTTAAAAACTAAGAATCACGCAAAGCTACTCTTGCACAGTCCAACAATCCTCTCCACATATGTTACAGGGACCTCACTTCTGCATTCAACTGCTAATGTTAATCCTCTCTTCGCACGTATTGCTTGATTGTATTTGATTAAAGGCAGGTGTTGGGCCCAATTTCACGATAATTTGCTTGGAGGTGCTGCTGTATGGCGCTGCCACCATATTGAGTGGATTAGAGGAATTACTGCATATTCTTTGGCCTGCAGAGAGTCCCTGTGGCAGGTGTGTGGTGGAGCGTGGGTAAACAGCCATGTTGGCACCAGTGTGCTCTCAGACTCAGCTGGGATGACAGCCCAGGTGTCCCCTGGGACATGTAGTGTCAGACTGGATCCCCAGGTCCACCTGGATACTCTGCTGTCATTGCTGCTCCCAGATCCTCCCAAGGGACTCCCATTGACATTTGATGTCCCATGTGTCTGCCCAGAGAACCATTTTTAGGTTATTGTGATTGTCACACTGAAACTAAAATGCAAGTTAGTTGCCAAAACTGGCACAACACAAACACAAGGCAGGTTAGAAAGTTAACATTGTAGTGTAGTACTATAGTAAATACAGTTTTACACATTTACACATATCTAACAGGACAGATGTGTTTAGTAAAGGGTACAATGATCTAAGAAGAGGCTTTGCTTTTGTTTTCTTCTCCACAGCTGAAGGAAGTGAATTCAACCCAGATCCTGTCTGCAATGCTGTCTTATGTGTGGCCAAAGAATAGACCAGACTTGCGGGCCCGTGTGGCCATCTCTCTTGGCCTGCTCGCTGGAGCCAAGGTACGTTTACAGACAATACTATGGGTATTAAAGTGGGGTTCTTTCATTTTTTACTTCTTTGTTATTTTTTGGCATATGAAGCTACTTTAATGTGTTTAATTGGTGCTAAACAGTGTTATTTATGCATATTAAATTCTGTTTTTATAGAGAAAATGTAAATATTAAAACCATTAAGGCAAGAGAAAAACAGCAAATATTGTAACTCACAACATGATCAAAGCACTGATCTGATGTGACTAAAGAAGAAAAAAGAAAAGAAAAAGATGATCACAACCCCCCTGCTGGTATGGGAACAAATATTGCTCACATCTGTATGCCACTGACAATGCTCCTGATGCTTTGACAGTGTTACCAGTTTAAAGAAATGTGGACTCATTCCTACGTGTAATGTGTAACGTTGCTGCCAGTAGCAAAGTTGATGTCATATTGGTCATCAGTAGCTTTGTGGTAACTTAAGTGACATCCTAAGGTATAAGGTATAGAGTATAAAAATGATAAATGAGTTCCAGAGCCTCTTTTTGCCTCACAGTGAATAGCAGCCCTGCCTTTTGACAGTGAAATCAAGTGAAAGAGAGAAGTGACAATCCAAGGTTACTGCTGACGTCAATTAATTCTTATTTAATTAAGTGACAAATGTCAGTATTTTAAGTTCATACTGTTTCTGTA